GGGGGTCGAAACCCATTTGAATATAATTTCAGAGAGATGGAATTTTAATCGAATTAGACGCTGTGTTTCAATTTCTGTACCCTCGAGCGCCTGTGAGTTGGCTGAACAAAACAAATTGATTGCGCATACTGCGTTTATTTGTCCATTCCTAAAAGCCTCCAAACGGCTGACTGGTGAGATGAAGAAATACAAAAATGATGTTTGTATGTATACAAAAAAATGGCAATCCGCTACGAGAGGAGGCATTAAAGGTGATGTTCAAGTGGATAGGGAGCACTAATCAAGTGCATTGTCACGCAATATGTAGCCTGTGTGTGTGCGTGTGTGTGTGCGCATGCGGGCACTGCTTTTCACCTGACTAGAATATTTTGGCGGACTGATGCTTTGCATTCTCCTGCCACTGCTTTCTGTAATATAGCATCATTAACGTATCAGTCATTTGCACAGCTGGTTTGTTCCCATGTTGGAATCAGCACGAAGTGAGTGTGTGTGTGTGTGTCTCAATATGTTAAATAGACAGATCAGCGCCTTTAAAGTAGAGTGTGTAGTTGTTGCTACGTGTGCCGTATTTAAAGCATGTTATTAATTCAGTGATTACTAAAATATAAGAATTTGACGGACTGAATGTATATTTACGTGAAAATCTTAACGTGCGGATGCGTCCTCTGAAGCCAACATCATCGGAACCTTTTAAAGATGATATAATGGATTATTTAATAATGCCATTAAGTGTGCTGCTGATAACAGCAGATGATCGTTTGTCGTCGCTGCTGCAATTATCGATTGAGCCCATCCAGGGGCATTACATTCATTTTAATGTGTGCGTGCGTGCCGACCAATCTCATCAGTCTCTGTGTAGCATGCTCCTGCAGCCCATCGGGAACCTCCATAAGTATACGTCAAAGAACACATTTTCAAATTACTATTTATTACTGCTATTACTATTATTATTAGTCACAGCTCTCTTCATGTTTAATATCATACATCACTGTCTCGCGGCTTACAATTAATATTGTGTTAGTTAATATTATGCAATAATGTGTTGTATATTCAAATAGACTTTTATTTATTTTGGCATGAATATCTGCTTGTTTCCACATCCTTTCTTTGTCTTTGCTTCTTGTTCCAGTCCTCTTATTATGTCTGCGAAAGTCTGCAGTAGCCTTTTGGTTGCAGCTTTAACACACACACACGCACACGCACACGCGCACATGCCAGGTCAGCGAGCTGAAACTAAAGCAGACTTTAGAAGCACGAGGGTGTGGTTTGTTAAAAATAAAAATTAATTTATTCACACAATACAAACAAGCAGATTGTTCCACAAAATCCACATATGACGAGTATGTTCAGCCTGTCTGGGATTAGACGCGGGACATACCTGACATACCTCCTGGACTCCCTTTAATCTTTCGGGTACTGACTCGAAGAGTGGCTTTGTTTTTTGTGTCCCGCATTGAGGTTAGGACCCAATGTAACTTTGGGTCTCTCTGCGGCTTTGCTGAGGATTTTGCCTCATCTCGGATCACTAAACGAGTTCGACCCAAAGACGATGGAGCCAGAAGTCTCTGTGTGACGCCAGCGGGAGGAGGCACAAGAAGGGGCTGTTTGGTCTTAGCGTTGTGGAAGTGTGTGTGTGTGTGTGTGTGTGTTGGGCTCTGGCCCTGCTTCCCGCTTTTGTTGCTTTGTACTGGACTGAGGCGTTTATGGCGGTTAGCGCTTCGTGAGGCCCACTGCGAGGCAGCTGGTGGTGAAAGTAGGCCATGCGCCCTGTTGTGTCGCCTTTAGCGCAAACCCCTCCGTACGCGGTGGATGCGCCTCCTACGATACTCCCCCTACACTCGGTCCTCTGCAGGACTCGCATGTACTGCGATACTGCTGCGCTCTGTCCGACGGGTTCCTGTTCCAGAGAGACGCCTTCGACTTAGGGACGATCGCTCGACCCCTTTTTTACGCATCCATGTTGCCAACCTCAAACCACTCCAGCAGCACTTAGCCGCTGTGTGTAAACAACGCGACGTGAAAGCCGGGGAGGACTCTGCTCAAGCCAGAGTGCTCATCCGTGAAGTCGTGACACGAGGGGCTAACCTACCCGCTGGCCAGGCCGTTTTTCCATAGCACTGTAGGACTCCACCAGAAGCCCACCAGGAGCGTGGAGTACACAAATATCAAATGTCCCTTCTTCGTGCCACACAATTTAGACGGCACTGAAATATTCTTCAGTACTAAATCAACAATATAAATGTCCCTCCGCCGTCCACGGCCCAAGACAAATTGGAAATCGTGAAACTCATAGTATCTACTGTAGTTTAGCCCACCACATGTTGATTCACTGTTTTTCATCCTCGAATAAACCACAAGGATCCGTTTGGTGGTTTGCTCCGCGGTTCCGGAAAGCCTTTCCACGCAGCGTGAAAACAAGCACATTCGGGTCAAGGCCGCCAGATGCTCGTTAATTATCAGCCTCGGTGTTGCAGTGACAAAACGCCCGATCCCGCCGCCGATGTTTGATGCCGCTGCTGCAGGTGAATCAATACGTCGGGTCCACTCGCTCATTTTAACAGAAAGCCTCGCACACAGAAGCAGGGAGTCCAGCCGGGCCGCAGTTTATGGGCAGAACAGAGACGGCGCACTAATTCATCCCGGTGACATGTTCCGTCTCCCTCCTCTGCGGTCGGGAGGCCTTGTTGTCTTTAGGGGATTGGCGGGCTGCGTGGGTCCTCCAGCCTCAGATTTACGATAGGAGGGAGGCCAAGCGAAGGGCACAGACGAGGGGAAGGAGAAAAGAAGCAGAAGGCCACGTGAAGCTTTGGAAGGAGGTACAACGGCTCCTGCAGTGTTGTTTACCAGCGTGGGGGAGGGGGACATTTGTCCCTGTGTGGTACTTCAGGATGCAGCCATTTTACCTGTGTGTAAAGATGAGCTATAATATACTGGTCAAGCTTGAGGATGTGTGGGACCTGCAACAAAGGACGTTGCGGTTTAATGGAAGAGTGCTGCAACCACTCTTTTTTTTTTTTAATTGGCATAATTTAAGCAAAACAAAATAAACAATAAACAAAGAATATAGAAGTAATGAACATCACTGTGCAGGAAGAGGCAAAAAGCCAACTGGGCATTTTTGAAGCTTCCACCTTTATACTATTAAAATATATATTTACAAACTTAAAACCATATGCATGTCATAGACTATAAAAGAAACTGTTAGCAAGATGCCCCTTTGTTGTCCACCTGAATATCAACGTTGCTCAGAATCTTTGCATCCTTTTGTAATCTCATGCTTGTCAACCATTATCTGCATTATTACAGGCAGTGAAAGTTGAATCCTTTATTTTTGTTATTAATGTGAAGTGCAAAAGTGTTATTTTTTTATGCCCCCTTTCCCATATGAGATGCGCTGCATGTTTCATTGAAGAACCTCCAAAACATGTTTTTACATTAGGGACCAATACTAAACTTTGCTGGTGTTCCTTGTATTGACTGGTACAGGCTGGCCCTACTGCATGATGGATGTAATTATGTTTGGGACCTCGAATGGCTTCACTGCTGGACAGGCTTAGCTGTATTTTTGATTCATTTACTGAATTGCATACTCATTTGTGTGGGAACCAAAAACAAACTGTTCTCCCTCAGTATGTACTGCCAAGTATCCTTCAGTGGATGTTTCTTTAGCACTCCGCATGGCGATGGCGTCTTAATGGAGTGTTTTACATGCGGGGGTTTTGGGAGTTTGTGCACTGCTCGCTGCCTAGGCCGGAGGAAATAACATGGGCACCAGCAAAGACCCCACCGGGCGCGCCTGATTATCCCTCTCACTAAATGTTTCATCCGTTTACATTGGATGGCACTTGTAGCCGAGTCTGCACAGCCCTCAGAAGCAGCACGGACAAATGTGTTTACAGCTACAGCGGGGGGGAGATTAGTGGCAGAGAGGAGCAAAGGGAAATGGAAAGGGAAGAGAGATGAAAAGGAGATGATTAATAAGGATGCAGACTGTTGTTGCCATGGCACCGGAACCCAGACGTGTGCACGAGGGTGGTCATATTAACTTTTATAACAGTTTATTGACCTGGAAATAATTGTGAGGAACCATATCATTGTCATTTTAAGACCATATCATGGGACTGGTATCATGAAAATATAACAGAAAATCCGTAATATAGAATAGTAGAAATTGGCAAAATTGCTAAATAAATATTTAAACACCATAAATAAAACTTATCGTATGTCATACGATATTTCATATATGGTCAAATTTGAATGGTTTGATGCTTTTTTAAGGATTGCAATTCTTTGATGCCAGAGGTTCTATTACGGCTGCTCTGTTCTGCGTCTTTCTTCCAGTCTGCTCGTGTAAACCCTGCACAATTTAACTTGTGCTCTTTATTAAGTCAAAGTTGGTAAAACTCTCTCTATTGACAAGACATTAGGTTGTGTTATTGTGTCAACGCCAAGGACTGTGGGGGCGCAGTGAGTGATGGGAGCACAAGGCTGTAACCGGGGATACGAGGGTAAGAGTGGAGGGCCGGCTCAACAACACGTGTTGAAAACAAACCACTCTGTGACAGTGAGCTGGGTAACCGTGACCTCTGGGAGTCAGGGAGAACGATCATGTGCAGCTGTTGTTACGTTTTAATAGTGGTGTAACTATGTTACTGCAATAACCCCCATGATGAAACAAGATGCTTAATGGGACTGTGTTGGTCTTTTTGAACTAGAATGTTAGTTCTGTGAGTGTGCTACTTCCAAAAGACGGCGATCTCCCCCATCCACCTGCTCACCATATTTTTGATTATTTTTAATTGAAACCACCCCAAAAGTGAATTAAACGGTAATCCTGCATTTGCAAAAAGTACACAATATAACAAATCTTCGATCAACGCAGTAGTAAAGCAGTAAGTAATACATATTTAGGAGAACACCGATAGATAAAACGCTTCAGTTCCCCAGACGGAAAGGACTGCTTTACAGATCAGTGACATGGTTTTTTATTCTTTCTCTAGGTGGCTAAATTACGTTTGGCTGCTGCCCCCGTCCACAGCAGTACGTTGCTTGGCCCCCGTGCTGGTACTCCTGCCTGCGTCTCCAAACTGGGGGCGCGCCGACCGCCATCTACTGAAGGTAAATACGCCGTGTCAGGGTAAATAGGGGGAAACATGATATTGATATTGTTTTTGATATACTATAACAAGGATGTCGTATATTATCAGGCACTTTGGAGAACTGTGCGTTTGAGCTGGCGGTATATCCTGTTGTCCTCCTCAAACACGGAGATGATCTGAGCTTGGCTTTGTCACAAGTTTGATAAATCACTTCTCCAGTGTCGACACATTCACTTTTAATGAGAATGGATCCATGAAGAATCCATTATACACGGTCAAGGTCTGTTTTTGTCTGGCAACGGTGCCTCCCGAGTTAATCCAGGTTGTTCTGTTGGCATGGCCGTCATATTAAATGATAAATAAACACAAAAATTGAGTTAAGTGATGGAAATTAATGGCACAATCTGGGTTCGGTGAGAGCAGGAGCCCTCGGGACATCTGTGGTTCATGTTGAGAAAAATGAATCTCCTCATTGCCTATGAAATGTTTACAAGCAGCCAACTAATCAGGCTAACTATGAATAAATAAAGATGCTAATTATCAAAGCGGCGTTACAAAGGAGAAACCAGTGTAAGCGCGTAAAAGATAAACGAAACAAGAGAATGTGAGAGGTTATTAATTAAACGAGAAGCGGCTCGAAGCCCATTAATGGATCCCACTCGTGTTGTTATTACCCAGCAGCAGCGCCGGCGTGTTTTGGTGTTATTTGTCCGACCCGTTAGGACGTTCGACACGTCGTCTCTGCATCTTTTCATTATTCACCTGTTAATGCATCAGAAAGTAACAGGAAGAAAACAAAACACAGCTGTTTTTGTGACATGATGACCAATGGTGTGTCTGTTGTTGTTGCGCCCGTCGAGGTGCCTCTCCGCCCCCCCCAGCATGACACACACCCTCACTCATGTACACAAGCCGCTGCGCTTGCTCACACCTGGCAAAATGCTCTTCGTCCATTAAAGTGATGCTGCACCTGCTTTAAGCCGCGTGCATGTGTGTAATGGGGCCGATGAAGTCGATGGCTTCATAGCTAGCCGCTCCCGGCCGAGCTTCGCCATCCTGCCCCCCCTTTGCCCTGGTCCTAACACTAACTCACTGCAGGCTATATTCTGCAGACACCACGTGACTGTTCTCCTAAATTGATTGCATGTGTCCCCCCCCTCTCCCTCTTTGACCTCCTTTTGCTGTCTCCCCTCACGTGACCTCTCTCATGCATGCGAGTTCACCGCTGTGTTTGTCCACAGGCAAAGGCCTAAACAATATCTAAATCCAACTCACCGCATGTTTGAATGTTTTCGTCTTGTGTTTTGTCTTTTCCTTTTATCTTTGACAGCTTATTTTTGTTTTGACTTCCCCCTTTCTTTCTGTCTTCCTTCTGTGGTTCTGTGGATTATAGTGTCGGCTTGTGTTGATATGTTATGACATTGTGTTCATTGTTCGCTGGTGTTGCATGAGTCAGAAAAGATACATTGAACTGAATCGAAGACGTTAAATATACATGAAGAATTGACATTATGCTTTTGGTTCTGGTTGATTGAAAACTTGGATTTTTTATTGTAACCTCTTCCTTTAGTGGTAGAGGGAAAAGAAAATCCCTCTGCCCCTCCCATCAAAACTAAATATATTAGAGAATCAAAGACGCCACTTCAGCCGATACATCTCTCTCCTTGTTTCAGTTACCTAATCATCTTGTGCAGGTAGAGTTAAACAACGGCAAATAGTTTTTTATTTCAAAGTCTCCCTGCAGGTTTGGTCAGCATCCAAAAGACACATCCACGAGGTCACGTCTGCATATTCGTTAGGATATAAGTGTCGGCCCTGTGAGACCACGTCGTACAAACGCTCCAACCCGCCGATCAATCCTCAACAACCCGCAGTATTCCTCTCCTCCGTCATCAGTTCTGACCTCCTCAAAGTATCCTCCTCTCCCCCATCAGACTTCAAACAGAGGATCTGTCTGTACAGATTAATATGGAGTAGTTCTCTCAAAGGTGTCCCCGGTGGTGTGTGTTACTCCGCTGCTGTTTATTTCATAGCTGTACGGCCAGATGGTGAGAGTGTGGAAAAATTAGCACTTTCATCGTGGCACTTTTAACATATCGCTCATTTCTAAGCCTTCTGCAAACAGCCCCTTCTTTCTGTCATGAATTCCCGCTCCCATTAACATCAACGTCATCGTGGTGGTTGATATTTTGTGTGTATATGTATCTGTGTGTGTGTGTCTCCCGAGTCACTGAGCCAATAGCTGCGAGGATCAGTGCGCGGCTCTCGATGGCGCCTGCTGAATATGCTAGTAGCCTGACGCCTGTTTGTATAAGAAGAGGGAAACACACACCTCCCCATCAAACGCACACCACCCAGAAGCTTTCCGGGGCCCGGTCGGTGAAATTGACCTTCCTCCTCTTCTCTTGTTGTTCCCTCGGCAGTGATGGAGCCCATGACGGTGACGACGTCGGTGGTCGGACCCGAGGAGTTTGACCGCAACGCCCCGCGGATCTGCGGCGTGTGCGGGGACAAAGCCACCGGCTTCCACTTCAACGCCATGACGTGCGAGGGCTGCAAGGGTTTCTTCAGGTGCGTCCCCCACTCCCCCTCTCCCCATAACCCCCACTGTGTGGAGTGTTTTAGTGTGTTCGTTGACATTTGTGCGTGTCCGTTGAGAGGTGTTCTAGTTATTCGTCTGGAGCAGTGGTCACTAACTGGCGGACCGCGGTCCGGATCCGGACCAAAAGCTAAAAAAAGACGGTTGTGATTTAAATGTGACTTTTCAACCGGCGCAGCTGTGGTCGTCTTTACGGTTGTGCCTTAAAGCACAGACAAGTTGCATTAGAGTTAAACCATCCCATGTGATACCACTTGACCAATCGAGTCTTTGTGTTCCAAGCAGGACGATATCGTCTCAATACTGCGGACAGACGAGAGAGGTAGCGGCAAATTACAAATAAAGAGACGGTAGGAAGAAAAGAGTGAAATTTGAGAAAAAGACGGGTGAGAAAAATGAGGAACAAATGGACAGCGAAAATAAAACATTTAATCCATAATGGACGGGTTTCTGTTCATACGTCCCACTGCGGCACTAAACCAGTGTCCCAAGTGCTGAGAACCTGTTGAAACGCGTGCACAAGGCTCAATGAGCTCCTCCGCGTGAGGAGAACGGCCCTGATGCATTAAGACCAGGTTTAAAGTCCTGACAGGACAAACTAGAGCTTAATTCTCCCACTTACCAAAAAGTAGGAGAGTGGAGATATATATATATATTCTATTAAACTGTTCATTTGTTAAAATGTGTAGATTGATTCTTTATAATTAGCTGAGACTGGCAAGTCCAAATGTGAAGCAGAAAAAGGGAAATTCAAGCTTATCTTCCCGTTATTATATTTTTTCTGAATTGAAGCACTTTATTTGAACATGCTGAAATGTTCATTTTTTATTTCTTTTAAATGCAGCCCTGCTTTTATTTAGTTGATTGAGAGAACATTTATATTTGCAGTCACACATATATGTTCAGTTCTTACACGACCATAAATGTTGTCAAAAGAGTTTTAGAATCCTACTGAATTCATTTGATTTGTTAGTTGTGTATTGATTACATGCAAATGTTGATACAACTCTATTTAATCACACTTAGTAGTCACATTATGACCTTCCGGACCTTTGCTTCTACAAATTTTCTCTAACTGGACCTCTTCACATTTTAGTTGAATAACCCTGGTCTAAAGTCTGTAAACACCGTTTGATGTTATTTTTATTTCTGTCAGCATAAACAATGTACATTATTCAGTCTATTGCGCGCGCTCTCTCACATTCGCTCACATGCACGCATACTCTTTCACGTAAATCAAGGATTTTAGTAATGAGAGATTATTTTTCAGTGAAATTTCCCCCTTCCGAAGGGTAGAAGATGCCAACCCTTCAGTCTTTTTTATAAATGTAAACAGCTGGTAGAGAATAGATTTTTATAAAGTATATGTACAATATATATAAATTGCTTCATCTTAGTGTACCGTTTCCTTCAAAGGAGCATTCACGTGACTTGTTCTTTCCTCTAAAATACCTGGAAGAGTTTAAAGTGATTTTTTTATTCGAAGCGTGATGTCATCGACAGTGCCCTAAGCTAGTTATGGATTTGCTCTCCCACAGACGCAGCATGAAGCGCAAAGCCGCCTTCACCTGCCCGTTCAACGGGAGCTGCACCATCACCAAGGACAACCGGCGTCACTGCCAGGCCTGTCGCCTCAAACGCTGCGTTGACATCGGCATGATGAAAGAGTGTGAGTAGACCTTTCTTCTGCCCTGTGGGGGTCTAGCAGTGCTGCGGCTGATGTCATAGCTCGAGCTGCGGTGTGGAGACAAACTTTAAACTTTTTGCTGTTTTAGTTTTTAGTTTTTCCCGACATTCTTTGATATAATATTCATTTGCCATTTGAAGCCGCTTCTGGGTCTGTGTCCGGATCGGTACTTGGCTTGAAACCCGCAGCTGTTGCTGCACAAAATACCGTTAACTGGGAACTAAGTTTTCACTTCCTGTTTTCCTTTTGTTGCTCCTCACCAGTCCCAAATTTCAGCACATAACGACAGCCAGTTCATGTGATGATTTGTTTTGTCCTGCTCATGCAATAGCTTGGAACTCTCTTCCCAGCCAGGATTTAAATTAATGCATTATTAAATATCTACTCGTACAAATCTTTTTTTCACTGCTGCTGTTTTCTTGGTGCACTTAATTACATTCATCATTGTTACAGTTCTAATATTCATGGATGACACAAACTGTTAGCTTTCTCAGTAAAAAGCTCTACATATTTGTATGTTCTATTTTCCAATTGCTTGCAGACAAAAGTACTTTTCATGTGATATTTGAAGACAATGAGGAACCCCGGCAGCCAATAGAATACACATATACATACATAAGGCAGGTAGTAACATAAGGCGAACTCCTACTGGGGTCAAATACACGCTGCAAAATAATAATTTGTGTGATTTAAACTGGCTTTTGATGGCAGCAGATGGGGCCTCCATCACCAGTGCTGTGAGGATAAATGGCAGCGCTTTTGATTAGTACCATCCTATATGAACGGCAATTACTCGTGTGCTACATTTGACAGGCTGTTTGACACTGTTCCGCTCCGAACCCCGTTGGTTATGCATGCGGTACCAGGGTGTAATACAAGTAGTAGCCCTTGTGAGGGGAGGCTGAGGCATCGCCTAACCCCGCGTTAACCCAAAATGGCACTTTGTCACAACTGATTCATAGCTGTTGCTTCATAACATGGATGCAAAACGGCGTGCACTGAAATATCAGCTAACCAATGTAAAGCAGAACCTACAGCAGCGCGTAAGCACGGCCGTGGCAAGTGTTGGTGGTGACAGGGAGAATTGACAGAGAGAGAGACGGAAGGAAGGAAGCCGCAGGGTTGGGGCCGGGGGGTTAAAGTGCTGCTCAACAATGAGCCTCTTTCTTCAAAGAGACATACAATGGTCCAGCCCACATTCTGTTTGACAAACTGTGTGGGTGTGGAACAGGGATGATGCGTACAAATACTTTGTCACCTTACTTAAGTAGAGATTTGGGGTATATATATACTTTACTTCTACGCCTTACATTTTAAAAATAGCCTCGTTATTTCATTTTGGCTCGTTGTCGTTCAAAAACACACGGCCAAAAAAAACCTGTCCAGATTAATTGTGCCATCCGAATACAGTGAATTGGATTATGATTGGATCAGGAGTATAAACATTTACCATTCAGACACCCTATAGGAGTCCTCTGCGATGCACCGGGTGCGAAAAGGGGTCGGTGGAAAGTTCCTCTGTCAGAACGGCAGGTTCCGCTGGTTGGTGGTAGGATCTCAGTTGGGTATTTAGTGACATGGACCCGCTTCCTCCTCCTCATGGAAAATTCCACGTAACGTTAAATGAGTATCTTCATGGCTATGGGTTTGCCGTCATTTTTTTTTTTTTTTACGTTATTGAGAATCTGGGAAAACACAGTGACTTGCAAGTAGCGCAGCGTCTTAAATAAAGTGATGTGTGTCTTAATGCAGCTTTAAAAATTCTGTATTTGCTCAAGTCTGAAACGGGTCTTTTGGCCAATGTTTTGATAACCAATTGATGCCAATTCAGTGTTTCCCATCATTATACCCATCATTATAACAGGGGTGCGCCCCGCCCCCAACCCTTCAAAGTATGACCCGCCATCCCATGAAGTAGTAAACCTGGGGGAGACGCTGCAGTCTACCTAATCAATGGGAACAACGTGTGTGTCTGTCCTCGTGTCATTTAGCCGTCAAGTAAAAAGCTTGAGTTGATACTTCAAGTCTTTTAAAACTTTTTATAGTCTTTTTAAACCCTAGTATCTATACTTCTACTTGAGTGTTGAATCTGAATACTTTTGACAGCTCTGGATGCAGGATGCAGGGCAGGGTTCAGACTACCGATAACCACAGCTGATCACAAATAGTCACATGACATTGGAGTGTCTGTATTGAGAGAGAGAGAGTGAGACCGATCAGCATGAAACGCTCTCTCTGTCTCTCACAGTCGTGCTTCAGGTTCCGCGGGCTGAAGGAAGTCCGCTGTGCTCCCCCAGTGTTGCAGCTGGCCCGCTTGTCCCCCGCAGTGTCTGTGCCGCCACACCTTCTGCCGCAGTAGGCTGGTGTCCGGAATGTAACAGGATTCCAATCACAGGAGGGTTTCTGAAATGTTTTGGCCTTTTAGGGGATTTCATTCCCATACTCAGTGTCTTTCAGTAGCAACACGGCCACTCCTGCGGTGCTGCCCCGCATTTATCTCCCTAATTTGTATTCGCCGTCCTCTCTGAGTCTTTTGTGTTCTGTCTCTTGACAACTTTTCCACCGGCGTCACCATGAGTGCCGGATGCTTTATTTATAGTGGGAAAGACTTTTTAAACCACAACCCTGCCTCCCACTCCCAAAACAAAGACTTTGTCCCCAAAACTATTTAGCTCTATCTTGCATTGCCTTCTATAGAGAGCCGTGTTTGATGTGCTGTTCAAAGATGGATGGGAAAAAAAAAAGCTCCCTGCATTTTTCTTCTTGCACACTTGCTATACTAGTTTTAACAGTTGCTCAACCAGCAAAATAGATGCAAACCAGGGAAAGAGGTTAATGAGAGTAAGACTAAGGACATAAAGATTTGTTTTGAGATCATGCGCCACTTAATCTGTTCATACCCCAACTTTACTGCCTCCAACCACACTTCTGTCATGAGCAATTGGTTGAGCTAGATAGCTGGTCCTTGTTGTTGTTGGCTTATAGCAAATTCTGATAACAACCCTATAGCAGGTAAGTGTTTCACTGATAATACGGAGCAAAATAGATATCATTGACTTAATGAGTGCAGTCAGTTATCTCATCGCTAATGGCCATGAAGGAGGTCAACGTCAGCTCCGATTAAATGCTGGAAGATAAAAACAATCTATAAGCATCCCCCGCTGCCGGTAAGCCACTTTGCCCGACTCTCCTCTACTTGTGTCGACGCCCTGGCGCCCGACTGACCTGGATTCCCCTCCTGTAACATCACACTCCCGGGCCAGCAACGGAGGAAACGATTGGCCACACGCCAAATCCGGCTTGACACATTTCACACCGAGTCTGAGCGGCGTCCATTGTGTTTAACCGGTCGGTCGGCTGGTTAATGAGTAAGCCCGCTGCGAGCCTCTGGCTTGGCCACAGCGAGGCTCTGCCTTTCCCTTTTTGTCAGTGCGGCTGGCGTTCCTGGGGTTAACCAAACACTCCCCACCCGCCTTCTTTCTTCCTGCCTCATCTTTTCTTTGCTGGTCCCTGTGCCACATCGCCACACTTAATGGGTGACTTTCCAAACAGCCGATACTCTGTTGGTGCACTGCGGCGGGTCTGCAAAGCACAGTGGGGTTGGTCGAGATTTCTTTTGATGGCCTGTTGTTCAGGCAGACCCCTGCCTTAATGATGTCGTCCCGTCTGGGGAACGACCGGTCCAATCATGTCCCCGGCCCTTTCAGTATAGCTGCTTTGACAAGTCTGTGCAAAACTTTGCCCAAACTGTGCCCGCTCATGGTGCCTGGAGCTCCATGCGCCGCTGTCCTCGCCGCGGAGGGGTTGTCCTCGGCAGACGGCTCCTGGCATGGGAGCGGGTGGACGTGGGAGCGCAGCCAAGGCCTAATTAATGACGGTGGATTCAAAGAGATGAAAGCCAAGTAAATCCTTTGGTTAGCTAAGCAGTCTGAGTCATTCAACCGCCCTTTTAAGGCTGTGTAGCCAAACTGTTGTTGTTGTTGTCTGCATCAACACATTATGCAGTTACGTAATGCCGCTCGTGTGCTTGCATTCCAGTGTGTGTGATCATTGAAGATCTACAGCTTCCAGGAAAACAACCAGTATTCTCTATGAACGCGCTCAATGTGCTCATTTATTTTTGCTTCATCCATTCCCTCCAATTGGTCTCTTAAATTGGCCGTTAATGTAAAGTATGTATATATTTGGTTTATGCATTCCTATAATTAGAACGGGCAGTCTGTAGCAACTGATTTAATTGACGATTTAGGAATAGTTAACAGATGAACTGTTTAGTTAGACAGCCTGACCGCAAAAAAAAACACATTTGGAGGCAATTTCTGCAGCAGAGAAACCAAAGTAGGTCTCTATCTCGGTGTACGCCATGTACGTGTAAACTCCTACAGATGGCATCTCTGTTGGATCCAAATGAAGTGTCCGTTTGGTAAGAATAGTGTCTCTGCTGTGGCCAGACAGTCGGTGTCATATATTGTGCGTATTGGGGCTCCGGGCCTGTCTCTCTTTGGCAGCCATGATGTCCGTCGGTCTGCACAGTCCAGCAATCGGTCGCTGTGGCAGAGAATCAAAAAGGATTATCCAGAGTGGAGGCATTCTGGGGTCAGTGCATCGCTCCATCAGTGACTGCAGTGTCAGTAGCATGTGCACATACTGTATGTTACGTTACTCAGTATTTCTAACTTCTGTTTCTTTGTTTCCTCTCTGCTATTAAGGGTGCCATACAAGTGAAGCTCTGTGTAAATAGTGTACTGGATAGGCCAACACGTGGTGCATCCTTTTACTGATTCAGTTGGAAATCAGAGGAATCCACTGATGCTGTGTGGTTATTAGTTCTGCATTCTTTGCCCAGTTTTCTGTGTGTACTCTTATTGCCATCAGACACATCGAATACTGATTAGGCTTCCTTTCCCTGGGCTCGAGACTGTGTGTGTGTGGTTTCTGTCACTACGATAGCGTTGTAACAGCGCATGATGCGAACACAAAAGCTACAAGTTTGTGGTTAATAACCAAATTAGGTCCAAGTTCAAAGATGTCTGCGCTCTCCACACGTGCACCAGAAGTGGAGGGAAAGCAGTTTGTTTGCTGCTACATTAAAGCTCTGAATTTGGCACATTTATGATAAACAGTAGTTAAGTGCGTGGGCGTTTTTCCTTTATAATAGGCACGTATTTAAACAGACTTTATTTCATTATCTTTACAATCCTATAACTCAATTAATACAATGCTTGATATGGTATCCAACTGTTTCCGTTTGGTTTTTGAGCTATTGAAAAACATACAAAACAATATGAATTCTTTATCTACAGAGTGCTTTGGGTGTTAAAGCCAACAGAGAAGGAAGTAAATCTGTTGCAATCTATTTTATTTACTGTGGATATAACATTACAAAGTAACATAATGCTCTAAGACATGTGGAAGTGGCACGCAAACCGGGCCGTTCCCAAAAGATCCTTTCATCTCGTCCAAAAGAGAGACCGTCTGAACAGTGCTTCTAATCCATGGTGCAGCGGCGTTCCGCCTCGCAGCCGCTGCTCCTGCCGCATGAATAAGGCAGAAGGCACTTTAACACCCGGCGTTGCAGCCCAAACCAACATTTGGTTCTTAAAGTGAAGCTACTGTCGAAGTGCTTTAAACTCTCATTGTTTGAAATCCACTCAGATTGTATAAACATGTCTTAAAAAGTCAATGAGAAAAAGGATTTTTCTCACTTAGTTGTCCGATATGAGAGTTCTCGTTGTTTTTGAGATGACGATGGCTAAATGCAGAACTACAGGTTTCAAAACAGCAGACCTTAAACCAGTGGCGTCTACGTCCCCTTCTTGTACATTTACAACATGTGGGCCCAAACAACAGCGCACTCAAAGTGTCTCCAGGAGCGATTTAATTACTTCAGTTCTTTCCTGTGCGTAACGGTGTAATGAAGATAGTACGGAGAGAGTGAGGTGTCACTGTGCATGTGTTGCCTTTCACTAGATACACAATGAGAGGAACCCAGATCTATTGCACCGTGTGAGACTGTGGCTGTTAATGTAGATTGCTGTCTTTGGGTTGAAAAGGGTTTAAAGCAAGGTATGTGTCTTATTGTAATCTTGCCCTTTTCAGTTTTTTGGGGCTTTTCTTGTCATCAGTACTTGTGAATTACTGCTATGTGTTAAATGTTTTTTAATGTCTTCTCCGTCCCATCGTCTTTCGCAGTCATCCTGACCGACGAGGAGGTTCAGAGGAAGAAGGACATGATAATAAAGAGGAAAGAGGAGGAGGCCGCACGGGAGGCGATGAGGCCACGTCTGAACGAGGAGCAGTCCCGTATCATCTCCAGTCTGGTGGAGGCTCACCACAAGACCTTTGATGCCTCCTATTCCGACTTCTCCCGCTTCAGGGTTAGTCCAGTACAACGTTTCCTCCTCCTCCACAACCACACTCAATTTTTATGTATCGTCTGTGCAGCCCCTTTGTTGTCCACCATGAATACGGGTGCAGCACGTCATGACCTCATACAACGGAAGGGCGGGTCCCCTGAAGCACGGCGTCGGACCATAATACTACATTTTCCGGGAGAAAGCTAATTGATACAAAAGCAGCTTTTCTTTCAACACAAGCTATTCAAATCACAGTGTACTTTTTATGTATTTTAATGGTATCGTCCTGCCGCCATAGCAACTAAATTCACTTTGGGGAGAAATGCTTACAAACTGAGTGAATAACAAAAAAGTAATAGGAGGATATGGATACCATCTGCTCTGGTTTGCCACATCATGACAGACCTTCCCATTCTCTTGTTCAGTGTGTGTCCATTACTGTAATTGGCAGTATAAAATATGTATCTGTCCTTACTTCATTTATAACATGACCACTGAAAATTCCTATTTTGGTTTGGCTGGATCAACTTTTAATGATTGGACAGTTTATCCTATGACTTTAAACCGCAGGCACAGACGGCACCAGTGAGGCTTGGCTATTAATCTTAGTACCCGTATTATTTGTGTGTGGAGTGTGCTCAACAACCCAACCTAGAATGTACGTGACTCAACCTTGTTAGCCGCTGCCTGTTGAGCTAAATGTAGTCTACTGACACAGGAACAGTATTTAATGTTATAAACGTAGGGATACAACTGTATGTGCAAATGAAATTTTATATATACGATGACACTTTTTGTGGTTATGCTAAAAGTATCGGTTACGGCCTGCCTATCATGCAGTGTTAATTTTGTCGACGAAAACTATGACGAAAATTTTTCGTTAACGAACCTTGACTAAGACGAGACACAAACTATCCTAAAAAATAAAAACTATGACTTAAATCTATTCTAAGTTGGTGGTTGACAAAGGCACAATACTTTTCCCCCTAAACTCGCACGCAGCTAACAGACAACAGACAGGCAAAGTACGGCGGATGTTAACGCGTCATGATGACGTCATCCACAAACCCAGAACGCGCGCTCGCATCGGTGCTTCTTGTGCACCGACTACGGACCGCGACGACTATTTTACAGAGACTATTTTACAGAGACTATTTTTTTTTAGTTTGAATGTGCGCTTCCTTAGTTTAGCTCAGCTGTCTCGGTTTAGCTGACTGTTAGCAGGCTGAAGCCGCGGTGCTTCAGAGAAACATGAAGACCCGTTTAACAGACTGTCGGACCTTTTTGCTCTGTTCTCTGGCGACGGCAGGCAGCGTTTCCTCGGCTGGATGAGACGGTCCGTTACATGCTTCTCCAAACACGTCTAACATAATAAACTCGTTGCAGGTTCTGAAGCCAAGAAAATAATGTATTGCAACGATTGTAGGATGTTAAGGGGTCTCTTTTGTTTGATAAGGAGTTTAATATGGCTATTAAATGTGACTAACTAGACTAAAATGTTGAGTTTTCATCGACGAAAACTAGACTATAACTAAGAAGGATTAAAATGACTAAAACTAAATATGCATTTTTCGTCTAAAGACTAAGACTAAATCAAAAATAGCTGCCAAAATTAACACTGCTATCATGTCTAGGGGTGCACAGGCGTAACACAAAAATGTTGCTTAAAAAGGTAGGCGTGGCAAAGGTGGAGTGGCAGAGATGAATAAGTCGTGCACAAACAAGAAACAACGTTTCAACAAAAGTAACTATAATTTATTAACAACTTATTCAATCACACAAAAGGAAGCAAAAACATCAGGGTCTCAAAGGCCTAAAACAATAAACAAAACCATCCTTCTGGCTAGAAAACAAAGGTGTTCTGACCTACCGTGGGAAAAGGAAAGACACTACTGACCTCCCTCTCTATCCACAAAAAAAGGAGAAAAAGCAGTAACAGAAATGGCAGAGAACCCCTACACACTTCCCCCACACAATGGTGGTCGGTAAGCAGACAAACACGAAGAGTCTGCTTGTTGTCAGCATGAAAAGAGAGAACCGCTTAGCACTGGGTCCGGAAGCCTTTATGTGGCCCACTGGCCTGATGTCTCTCAGGTGGTGTTGCTCCCGCCCTCTTCTCAGGAGGGGGCGGAGTCACATCAGGGGACGTAACAGTATCATAATAAGTATTTGCAGTATGAGTATGAATACTCATGCTGAAATTCTGTATACATTTTGGGTTCTTTGGTCAAAACCATTGAATACAACACTCGCTGTTCGCTGTCACAAATTAGGGCAGGTGTAAAGTGTGTGTGTGCGTGTGTGTGTGTGTGTGTGTGTGTGTGTGTGTGTGTGTGTGTGTGTGTCTTACCGCTCCTCTTCTGGTGCTCAGACCACACCCATTTGTGAGCATAGACCAAATCGTTTTTTCTCAACTACACACCCATGTAGCTTTGTGTTTGTATCACGCGCTGTTGCTCCCCACGCACAGAAATGTACACATCTGGTGAACGGCCTCCCGGGATTGTGGGATGGCGGTAAGACAGATCTGTAACTGCAGCCATATTTACTTCAGCCCATCACGTCAGCCGTCGCGCCCCCCGTCTATGACTTCAATTACTAGCAACACACACCAAATGAGCCGTTGCATTTTCTTTCTCCTCATCACAAACGCGATACGTTCTCACTGCGCACGATAACAGTCGGGTCGTCCAGATTGAGAAGGCAGATTGGATGGATCGTCTCGAACACTTTGCCTTTTGGCTGATATTTATCAGCTTTAAGAGGGTCTAGCACACACTGTGCAGACAGATAGTAAATTGTGAATCTTGTCCAGATGAGGCTAAAAAACAACTTTATTTATTCTTATTTTTAAGGCCAGCACCCAAGTTGCGATTGAGTTGACATTGATCGTAATTTTGGCAACACCTTAACGGTCGAATATCCCCCAAAAACAGCGTTTACAGCAATGATGGAGGTTTGGTCGAGTTGGCAGATTTTTCCAAGTAACGTGGGGAGGATGATTTTGACCTGGTCTAATAATCCCCCGCAGAGCCCCACCAGTGCATTGAATGGTGAGTGTATCTACAATATTAATATTTGTGTTCCTGTGTGTGTGTGTGTGTGTTCTCACAGCCTCCAGTGCGCGAAGGCCCAGTGACTCGCAGCGCCAGCAGAGCAGCCTCCCTTCACTCTTTGTCTGATGCCTCCTCCGACTCATTCAACCACTCACCTGGTGAGTCCTCCTCCACCCCTCCTTGTATGTTTTATGCTCCTCGGTTAGCCTGATGTTCAGATGGAAGTAGAACCAGCAGCTACCAACATGTTCCGGGACTATCAGTCCTAAAGTGGTGCGTTTTCCACTCACCCGCTTCTGTTTGACACGTGGAGGGATTCCACCGGCCACAGTAATCTCGTAGATTAACGCGTTAGCTTTGACAGCCCTAATTTATATGCATAGTAGGAATCAGGAATCAGGAAACATTTATTAGCCAAAATATGTCAAACATACAAGGAATTTGTCTTGGCAGTTAGTGCGCGACAGTAGACAGACAAGACAACAGTGCACAGGTAATAAAATAAAGTGGAATGAAATGCTAATGCAATGGGTTAGTAAGAATAAGGCTAAGGCTATGGGTTAGTATAAAACAGGGGAATAAAGTTAAACAAATTTTAAATATTAAAAAGTTGAAAAATATTAAGCATAAAGTGCACTAACAAACAAGTAACAGACAAGAGACAAAGTGACAAGTGACAAAGTGATGAATTGCAGTTAAAGTGACATGTGCAGTATGAGGGGGAGTGACCGGTGGAGTGTTATAGTCAGGCGGTGGGGGACCGGGCTCTGTTGATGAGCCCGACTGCCGACGGGAAGAAACTGTTCGTGTGGCGGGAGGTCTTCGTCCTGATGGACCTCAGCCCCCTGCCAGATGGAAGGGGCACAAACAGTTTATGTCCGGGGTGGGAGGGGTCGGCCGCGATCTTTTTAGCTCGCTTCAGAGACCTGGAAGCGAACAAGTCCTCCAGGGACGGCAGATTGCAGCCGATCACCCTCTCTGCAGAGCGGATGACACGCTGAAGCCTGCCCTTGTCCTTGGCTGTGGCTGCAGCGTACCAGACGGTGATGGAGGAGCAGAGGATGGACTCCATAATGGCCGTGTAGAAGTGGACCATCATCGTCTTTGGCAGGTTGAGTTTCTTCAGCTGCCTAAGGAAGAACAACCTCTGCTGAGCCTTCTTGGTGATGGAGCTGATGTTCAGCTCCCACTTGAGGTCCTGGGTGATGATGGAGCCCAGGAAACGGAAGGAATCCACAATAGTGACGGGGGAGTCACACAGGGTGATGGGGGAGGGTGGGGCTCTGTTCCTCCTGAAATCCACAACCATCTCCACTGTCTTTAGAGCGTTGAGCTCCAGGTTGTTCTGGCTGCACCACGACACCAGATGGTCAGACTCCCACCTGTAGGCGGACTCGTCCCCACCAGAGATTAGTCCAATGAGGGTGTAGTTTGTCGACTTCTGGTTTGCATGTTTAAAAGAAATATATTTTTAATTCTGTGAGCTCACCGTGTCTCCTAATAACCTCCTCAGAGTCCGTGGATACCAAGATGAACTTCACCAGCCTGTTAATGATGTACCAGGATGGCGCCAGCAGTCCAGACTCTAGTGAGGAGGACACAAAGCTCTCGATGCTGCCCCACCTGGCTGACCTGGTCTCCTACAGCATCCAGAAGGTCATCGGCTTCGCCAAGATGATCCCAGGCTTCAGGTACGCTCAGACTCACATGAACGTTCAGCAGTGTGGTTAACGCCCTAGTTTAAAGCAGTACGTTTTGGATGGTTAAATCAGAAACTAAATATTTACTTGTTGCAGTATAGTGGCTCTAAAGTAGAGTTGGTCGGCACCATTGCAGCAGCCGACCACTATACTGGCTGCTTTTAGAGGTGAAGCAGTATTCAGGAATGGAAACTACTAACCACTAGCTATGCTTTATACACACAATAATTTAGGGCTGCAACAACGAATCGATGAAATCGATAAAATTTGATTAATAAAAGCGTCCCTGAAAGTGTGTCAATGGCAAAATATGCAAAGTCGACGTAACCTGACACTGGAGCACCACGTTGTCCCGTTTTGAAGTGAGGAACGTAAGGAGCCTGCTGTTTACTCGCCATCCAGCTGATCAAGCTAGCGTTGCAAATAACAGCAGTTAGCATGGGGTTGTTTTTTAGCTGTACTTAGATGGGGTGTATACATTTACTTAACTTGCACTACAATGATTGTAATAATTTAATGAATAAGCTTCAAGTGAACATGGTGGTGTGTTTGTGAGTATGTGCGGCGTCAGTGAGTGTAGTATAGAAAACAAATTCTGACGTTAAAACAAATCCTGTTACATTTTCTGATTTGTATTCTTTTTTTATAAATTATTATGTTCAAGGAGTAACCTGTACTTTCTGAAGTATTTTTGCAATGTGAATTTGCAGTTCTGTTTTAGATAGAAGGGTTGGATATTAAAGCTTTTTAATTCTGTTTTTTTAATCAGATTAATCGATTAATCGAAGAAATAATTGACCGATTAATCGATTATCAAAATAATTGTTAGTTGCGTTACAATAATTGACATGGTCAACATGGTTTACATTTTAAACTCCATCAACAGCATGTTAAAAACCCTACTACGTTAACGGTAAAATAGCGTGCTTATAACGCGTAAATAAAGATTTTCTCTGTCATTCATAAAACTGCCTGACCAATGTCGCCATGAAGACGTCACTCCAAAGAATTCGTCCAACTCAGTTTCATTGGATTTTTGTTTTTTACTTATTAACCAAGTTCTCCAATATAACCTTTTAGTTTAGGCCTCCCTGCACGTACTGCGAGCAGTAAAGCAGTTTCTTGACAGCCGTGCAAATACATTTTTCTAAAAGGCTAAACACCAACATATGGATTGAAGTTGAAGTTGTATTTTGTTTGATAAAATCATGTTGAGAATTTCGGAAATGACCTGTATCAATAGCTAATAATATTAGTATATCTGATACTGAAATACCTGCTTTGAACATCATTAATGTATAGACGAAAATAAAAGCTGCTTAAGCACTTATGTTAATTCACAATTAAAATGTCAACCTTTTGACTGAGGCTGCAAACCATTCAATACATCTATAAACTAATGCTAACCGTGTTACCGTGTTTTATACATTCAATCGACAAAAGGCTTAAACAATTACTTGAAATAAAGAAAGAAAGAATAAAATGACACTGCTGTTGCAAACCTAATCAGAACGGCTGAAGCTGACCTTTGCCTTTGATGGGCCAAGAAGGGCTCTCATATAGACAAGCGTTATCACTTATCCTCTGGTGCCATCAATCACAATCTGGCCACGTTGAAAATGATTCCTGATTAAACCTGCAGCTATCTGGTGCTTCACTGAGTCCTCCTGGTAATCATTTGTTGATCCCCCGGTAGCACTCGCCAACCGGCTATCGGCCTGAATGACTTCTTCGGCCTCACGCGGAGCAGGCGGAACGGCCTTTATTCGAGGCCATTGTTGGGTGGGGCAAGATTCTATTACCACTCCCAAACAAACAAGCTCTTCCAGGAACCCGCTGGAACAGGCTGTAGCTCTATAGCTGCATGCTGCGCTGAGAGTTAAGTTCATAAATGTATGCATATGCACGGGCCACGTAACAAAAGAAGAGCTGAGACCCATACAGGTGTGTAATGCACATGTGTGCTTTGCATTTCCCTACATTTAGTCCTGCCGTTTTATTCAGGATAAAAAAATAAAATGATAATATTTAATCAAGGTCTTTTGTCTATTGTTATTATCGTCATGTACTTTAAAACAGAATGTGAATATTAACTATCTATAAAGCAGCGCAGTACAGGTCGACTCCATCTGTTATGGCCTTTCACAATAAAAGACTAAGTACGCTGTGCGACTTTACTAGAGGCAACCAAAATTCACTGAATGTTATAATAAAAGGAAGCTCAATATTATAGCTTGCAGTAGTTCAGGCTGTACAACAATTGACCTCAGACAGTCTACCACATTTTGCTCTGGGTGCTTCTGTTGTAAAAAGTGTTGCAGCTACCCAGAAATGTGCGTATAATCCCCAGCATTTGATAATTAAAGGCAACATTGTTGAAAATAACTACTGTCAGTCGGTGGAGATACACACCCTGAAATATGGGCCAGTGGTGCATGAAGCCCAAAATGTTTGAATTCCAAAATGTACATAAAATGACACAAATCTTGATCCACATCCAGAGGCACAAGGCAAGGGCAATAGTGATGATTTTAACTCCGCCTCCCAGCCATGTTCTCGGCCCGGAAGATAACTTTGGAGGTTAATGCATCTTTTTACAATTCCGACCTGACGATTCTGGCCATAACTGACAGCATACAATTTTTTTAGGGAGGAGGCAAAGTTTATACTTTACTAAGACACTTGTAGTGCTTGTCTGTACTGGAAAAGCAAAATAAAAGAAAGTCAAATAAATCTGAAATCGGACATCAAGACCCCGCCAAAGACCCCTCTTCACCCCTCTGTCGGAAGTGCGACGGCTCAGACCTGATAATGCAAGTGAACATTTGCACATAAACAATACTACATCTGTGACTGTTTGTGTTCCAGAGAGCTGACCGCAGAGGACCAGATCGCCCTGTTGAAGTCGAGTGCCATTGAGATCATCATGCTGCGTTCAAACCAGTCGTTCAGCCTGGAGGACATGTCCTGGAGCTGCGGGGGGCCGGACTTCAAATACTGCATCAACGACGTCACAAAGGGTCTGTCACATCTCACTGTCGTTAGCCAAACTGAAGAAACACCGAGGCAAGAGAGGACCTAAGCTGATGAAGATACAAGCTGCAGCACTAACGGTGTGTTTTTGTGTTGTCCTCCACCCTAGCGGGTCACACTCTGGATCTGCTGGAGCCGCTGGTGAAGTTCCAGGTTGGCCTGAAGAAGCTCAACCTGCACGAGGAGGAACACGTGCTGCTCATGGCCATCTGTCTGCTCTCCCCAGGTACCGTCAGCGTTGTCTGCTTGGATCAGTGTGTAGTTGGATCCCCAGTTCAGGATTTTCTTTCTTCTCCCTTTTCGCCTAGAACTCACATATTGTGAAGAATGTTTGTTAGTGAACAAAATGAGGTCGTCAAGCAGCAAAGCCCTCTTGAAAGAAGTGATGACTCACTCCTCGTCTCAAACACGCTGAATACTGCTTGACTTTTAAGTGCCATTCAAGCACAAAAAGCTGAAGATGTATTCATCTCCAGTAGAAAGAAGAACAGTGACAGATTTCATAAGAGCGTGGGGGGTCTTCTGGCTGGCCAGCGTTTCTGAGATTGTAGTGAGACAAGGAGAAAAGTGAGAAAAGGTGAGGTCGTAATATTTGAATTAAAACATTGAGGGTTGGCCAATCAGTGTTGAGATGTCTACAGCGTCTTCATTTCCCCTCCAACGTTTCATCTTTCACTCCAAACTGTCGTCACTGCTGATATATTATTATTCATATTATTACTGTACATGTTTTAGCGTAATCTGTTATCTTAATCACATCAGTTTAGACTTTAGACTTGGTCAGAACGATCAAAAGGCCGTAGTCATAAAAGATTGAGGTTTCATCACACTACGTGGATCTGGTGTGGCAGCCAAACATGGTTTGTCTTGTCACAGTGTGAAGTTTCTTTAAGAAAATCAAACTGGACCCAGCGTAATTTGTATAATAGATTATTCTACATTTGCCCACTTTTTGGAATTCACTTAACTCTCTCAAAAATGCCCGGCGGAATGTCAGACGCCCTTAAACATTAAATAAGCCGACATTTCTGTTCTACATATAAACATATGTGTTTATCTTCACAATGTAGTAGTAAGCATGTGCATAGATGCCCGTCCACTAGAGCAAACACTCCTGACTGATCTCTCTCTTTTCCTTGCACCTGCCCCCTCTCCCTTCCTCTGTGACCTGCCCATAACCCTTGATGGCAGACCGCCCCGGCGTTCAAGACCACGGTCGCGTGGAGCAGCTGCAGGACCACCTGTCGGAGACGCTGCAGGCCTACATCCAGGTGAACCACCCTGGCGGGCGCCTCCTCTACGCCAAGATGATCCAGAAGCTGGCCGACCTGCGCAGCCTGAACGAGGAGCACTCCAAGCAGTACCGCTCGCTCTCCTTCCAGCCCGAGCACAGCATGCAGCTCACCCCGCTGGTGCTGGAAGTGTTTGGCAGCGAGGTGTCATAGCAGAGGAGGAGGCGGCGCGCTCGCATGCACACACGCACACACACTAATACCCCCCCCACACATACACACACACACACACCTCTCACACCAGAGAACCCCAGCCCTGATGCACCTGGACGCAAGGGAGAAAGATGGATAATCTGATAGGTTACCTTCACCTGTTCGTCATCATCTCGTCCTCCTTCTGGTCCTCCCGACAAGGAGAGAGGCTCAGACGCCCGGACATCTGATCTATGGATTCAATATGCTCTCAATATTATAACCAGATTGTATTTTAAAGCGGGATCTGCAAACACAGCACCGTATTAAATCAAGCAGATAGCCTTGATTCATGGACATCCACAACGGACTGACAACCCCCGGTCCTCTCCGAATCCCTAAACTCTCCTCTTCCCATCAGCATCTCCCACAGCATTTTCCCAAGTGAAGACAGCTTGCTGTGATGTGATGGTGGCTGCATGCGTCCCTGCTACCATCGTCCTCAGGACATCGTTTGTCGTTCACATCGTCCTAGATGACTGACGGGAGTCTATTGGCCGCGGCGGCCCTCGTCTGCTAGAGCGACGTCGGTACAAGCGTGTTAGGTAGATATAGACTATTGTCGACGGCAGAGTCATCGAAACGAATCGATCATCAAAACGGAGAGCAGGTTTACTGCTACAGGGACTGAGCCCTGTGTGTGTTTAACGGGAGGAAAGCAAGTCTCAGTGTTTCAGTGCGGGAACGGTCAGAGGAGAGGGGGGATAAAAGGAGATGGGAGAGACGGAGGGATCTGCTACAGTTCCCTGTTCACGAGACAAAATTTTGCTAAACAAGAATGTATGTATAATGCTATATAAATATAAATGATATGTATAAGATGATATATATATATATAATATGAATATATATATATATACATAGATGTATAAGAAAGATAAACATGGTTGCTTCCGTGGAAGCAAATAGTTTTGAGTGTTGTATAATGTAGAGGACTTGAAGGCCCCTCCTCAGTCGTGTGTGTGTGTGTGTGTTGTTCTTCAACTAATACGCACACACAATAGAGCGCTGAAGTGTGTGAGGAGTCCTTCCATTTGTGTGACGTGTGTACAGTATTTGAGAATATTGATGGACCACAAGGGGGTGTGTGCAGGCGCTGGGCCGAGGGGCTTCGGTGCAGTTAAGCACTTTTTATTTTTCGGGACCTGTGAATTTTTTAGGCTGACACATGCAAACACAACGCCATGTTTCGCGGATACTGACTATCCAAAAATATATCTTTTTTTATTTCCAGCTGGTTAGATTGCTGCTAAGACAGTTAGCGATAGATAGTTGCCGGCTGTCTGCCTCAGGGAAACGTTTGTCTGGTGATGTTGTGTACGTGGTGTTGATGGTGTGTGTGGCGTAAGCTTACAATCATAAGACAGAGATTGTGTTTATTGAAGCTTCAGGCATCACTGTGATCTGTAATCATGCTAAATAACAGCAGAAGTAAGCTAAAAACTTTTTAAAGATAACGATAAGATATAAGATTTTCATTCCTTAAGGATTCAAACCTCCTTGTATATTGAAGGTGATCATTGTTTCTCCTTCCCATCAATTGGCTAAAATAGGTAGCCAGCAATTTGTGTTCAAACATCGAGTGATTAATATCAGCCTTTGTATTTTTTTCTTTCTACAGAAGGTAGCGTTGTATAGTTGTCAAATAATTCATAGCCTGTAGTGTTTTTAAAATGAATTCCCTAAGATGTTCTCAACAGCTGGGCAGTCATAAAGTTATAATTCTTTTATATCAAATGTAAAAATGTAAGACTCATAGCTTTTTTTTTTTGTTTCATCTACATCATTTCAACAGCAGCCACATAAGCGAGGTTTAGGATGCTGCTCTCCGGCATCACTACATATCATGTCAGCCAACACAAGTGCATGCTCACCCCTCACGCGGGCCTGGATCACCCCCTTGTGGACAAACTCTGTAAATACCACTTGCTAAGTCTGTACATAGTTTAGAGATTAATGTAGGCAGAATACTAAGACAGTTGTTGATGACGGGATGCCCTCAGAGATACGGCACCATATGCAATCTGGAGATGGGCTCTTTAACGTTGCGTTCAACTCGAATGGGCAGAGTTGTGCGATCCTGGTCCGGCTGCTGAGTTGCAGTAAAACAGGCCGACATTCCACGTATTCAGATTCCCCAAGAACAAAATACTGATGACGCTGTGTGTTCAACACAAATCAACACACCTGAAAGACGCTGGTTTAATAGCATTGTGAGAATCAGAGAGTCCCCCCCCCCCCCCATCCCCTCCCACAACTCAGTGTGTCCTCACCAGGAAGCGTCCTCTCTGTCCCTTTCCAAGCTTATGGATGTGCATCTTTTATCTTTCTGAAGTCTATCGATAAGCTTTCAGCAATTATACAGTTTATTCATGATGTTTTTATTTTTGGTGAAAATCTGTGTATGTTTTTAGTTATTAACCTCCAATTTCTTTCGGTTCTTTTTAAAACTGTCAATATGTGTCCGTTCGCTGTCCCCAGCCAGCGCTCTGCTCGCTGCACTGTGACGTCATAGTGATGATACCTGGTGACCCCCGGAGCCTTTTCACAGTGCAAAATGGACGAGCTCCACCTTCTCTGTTCTCTCGATTTCAAGCCAGCAAAAAAAACAGAGCCGCTTTTTCTGGGAGGGCGGGGATTCAAACAAAACAAAAAGACAATGCAGCCTTGTTTCACCTGTAGCTGCTTACTAAAGGGGAAGAGGACACTGTGGAGGTAAAAGGTGGTCCCAGGCTCCGAGAGAGGAAAAGGCAAGCAGGATGTCAAACACAATCAAGGACTCATGGACTCAGCCGACCTACTACATCCAGCCGGTGGCATCTTACCGCCTCTTCTTCTGCAATAGCCGAATATTATCACAGCAGGATCACTCTTCATGGCTTTAACTCGGCAGCCGCTCACGCTCTGCTTTTGGACAAGTGCGGTGCCCCAGGGGCCGATGGGAGCCGGAGGTTTAGTGAAACCGCCGCATGTGGAGTTGGATTGTGTCACTTTACTGTGGGAAAAGCAGAAGAATGGCGACCTTCTTTGTTCTGTGGGACTCAGAGGGCCGTTTGGACCGGACCGGCAGGAGACCGCGTCCAATCTGGATCCACGATCTCAGTATTTAAGTTCTTTTTTTTAAATGAGAATCTGCCACAAGACAGACGCAGTGACTGACAAGACTTCACCTCCTCTACCCAAAGTGTCTTGCGATCGCAGCAAAAACACAAATATCATGATTTCTTAACGAGTAGTTGTTGAGATACATGGGAAAAACTGGACTTTTTACATACAACATCTACATCTGTTTGAAAAGGGATGCAGGTTTGGGGCGCCGGGGCGGGAGCGTGCTCAGTGGGGCGGTTCCGCCCACTCGCTCTCTGCCCCCTCAGACCCGCCACCCCTCAACCCAGGTCAGCAGCTCCAGCTCAGTAGCCTTACTCATGGAAACCTCCGTCAGCTGGAAACACTGATCAGATACCTCAATGTTTTACACAATGACTTTTCACTACAGCCTTTAAGGGAACCAAACACACACACACACACACACACACACACGCACACACCCACACTACAAATCCCTCGCCTAGTCAGAACGCACGGGAAACTAGTCGCAAGCTGTATAAAGAAGACGATTGGCCGGTCGAATCCTCTCGCTTGTAGACCAGCAGGTGTGAGTGGATCCCAATGTTTCCACGCGTTGGCCGCCGCGTCGCTCACGCGGTCCTCATCTCTCTGTTTCCTGTCGTCTCTCTGTCTCTACAAACGGATTACGTGCCGCTATAAGCTCTGGCGCTGCGTTTAACCAAACGTACTACCTCTCCCTATATACACATATAGATTTGTATCTAAATGTATATATAGATTTGTATCTATATGTATATATAGCCGCAGCAATTTATTTTAATACTACCGTAGAAGGTTTTTTGTGTATGCGTACAGTAAAATTCTTTTTTTTTTTTTTTTTTCTTCTAATGCGAAAGAGGATTTTGTTTTTACCTCAAATCTCAATACAAGCCTATACAAGTCCGAACATCAGAAGCCTCATCAGCGTCACGTTGTGTGCGTCTGTTTGAATACATTTTAAGAGCCACGTTCACATAGCAGCTAAAAGTGACCAAATTGGAGTTGGAAGATAGTAACTGAAATATCCATGGTCCTAAAACAAAATCTCCAAATCTGATTTATTGTGGACCCAGAAAAGATAATAGCACTTATTTTTTTGTATTAATTGGATGTGGAAGCAGTTTAACCAACACGTGATCCAAAGACTCCACGATTGACAAAAGTTAAATCTGATCAGTAAATTGGATTTAAGCTCCAGCTATGTGAATCTATGTACTATGTGAATCTTGGCCTTTGTCCTCACATCCAAAATTTAAAAGATGCAGCGGTGTCCTCCGTCCGCTCGTGTCTCTCGGCCTCCTAAAACCACCTGACAAGGTTTTGTAACGTTGGGATCCCTTATTATGTTGTCGCCAAACATTTATTTTGTTTTTTCTTCTACTCAATCCCACGTGAGCACGCTGCCTTCTTCTAAAGCACTCTTAACTCTGGTTCTTAGTCCTTCTTTCATCTGCTGCATCTGCTCAGCTTTCAGGTAACCGGGCCTTCAGAATAAAAGCACCGCGCCTTTTAGTGAACACTATGTCGACTCTCTGCATGTGAGAGAAAGCCTCATTCGCGGGTTGACTGTGTTTATTCACATCTTTCAAGTATTTTACTTACTACTTTTTGCACCTTGGTCAATTATTCAAAATAGACAGACGTTGAACCTTCAGCAGATTCTTAATCTGCAAATGGACCTGAGGAGAGCAGTCGGCCTTTCTAGCGTCAAGAACGTCATCTGCTGCTCTGATTGCATTTCTCTGCTACCTCTTTAACTATGCGCCTGGTCATATAAACACACACACACACACACACACACACACTGCACCCACAGGTCAACATGCACTAATACCAACCGAAGAAAAAAACCTTGGACCCACACACAGCATTTGTGTGAACTTATTTATCCTTCACCAGCAGATTTTTGCCAATGATGCACTTGTGTTTTTCTCTAAAATGCTCTGCAATACATGTGATGTCTACAAATGGTTTATCGTCATCTACTATCATTTTCTTCTTTTTGGAAAAAAATAATAAAAATTCCGCAGCTCTGATCTATAAGTCCTGGGCCAGCCAGATGGTTGGAAAACAAAGTCAACGTTAATGCGTGCAGAATATATAGACAGTTGTTGTTTTTGAGGGGAAAAAACCATAAATATACATATTGCTCAGCTCAGTTGAACCTTGTTGTGCCTAGAACCCACAGCCTTATTTTGGGACAATATCTGGTTGAAAACCAGAATACAGGACCATCTGTTCCTGTATCACAAACCGTCTATGTTTAGTTTCAGGAACTGATTTGTTCTTCTCATCATATCCACATATTTGTCCTTTGTCCGGGTCAGAGTCTCTTGCTCGTGGGAGGTGCATCTACCGTCGTTTCTGCGGGTTGTTCTTTTGTTTCATTCAGTATTTTAATTTATTCCCCTTGACTGAGTTTTTTTTCAGTGACAGTTGGCTCTTATAAAGTTTGAAAAAAAAGATTTAAATGTTAAGTCAAAATATTGATTGTTGTGAAGAAGAGTTATTATTGATTTTTATTTAATTTGTCTTAATTTAAGCTTATTTTTTTAAAGAATGTCCAGCAGACTGACCTCCCTTTGCATGAACTATTCTCATCATTAAGGGAACAAACAAGTAATGAAAAGTTTTTAAATTGTAGTTTGTTCTCAGCAGAGTCCCAAGATAAGTAGCTTTACCTTTCACTCATGCACATCACCATGCAGTAAAACTCACCTGACCTCATTGTTTCTAGCAGAAACTCGTCTTTTCAACACTTACCGTTGCCATGGCATCGCTCGCCGTTGATTGCCTGACAGATAAAATAAATAGTGTTTTACATTCAGTACCAATGTCTCTCTTCGTGGTCAAAATCACCGCCTGTTTTTTTTTTTTGTTGCTCTTTTTGTCTTCTTGTCTTTGAAGTGTATCCATTGTACTTTGATTACATGAATTGTATGTAGTAAAAATACTGATAAAGATTTTGGGAAATCACAAATAAACCGCTGTACATAATGATGCAGAACGTGCCTCATGTTCCTGGTTCTTTTAAGATTTTAGTCTTGTCTATTTGTGTGTGTCTTTGTACGCGTAAACAAACAATTTCTAAAATAGAAAGAATCCATGTCATGAGGGCACCAGGATTCTGCAGAATACCCTTCTTCCTCTTCTCGCTACGCGGCCTTGAGGGTTATTATACAAACGCCTACATGACCCGGCTCTGGTAAACTAGAGGATGACAGAGTGCCTGGCCTGTCTGTGATGAGAGTCCTCCAAACATCATCAGGACCATTTCCTCCCAGGTGACCCCGACGGGTACGCCTCCCTTGGGGGTCTGTGGACTTCCTGGAAAGAGAGAGGAATGAGTGAGGAGGGTGTTTAGATCTGAGATCCAAAGCAGAAGAGGAGAAGTGCCCGACAGGGTTTTAAGGTTGACCATCCTAAGTCAAACATGAGGTGCTGACTGCTCTCCGTTTAGCGAGTGTGTTCCTGGGGTTATGCTAAACAAACAAGCCCTTCCTGGTTGGATGACTGTGTTCTCAGGCCTGAAATAAACTGGCGGAGCCGCCATCAAGACTTTCACTATATTGCACTCACTGCGGTTTTCAAAATAACTGCGACTCCAACTTTAAATTCTCCCACGATCGCCAACCAAATGCTAATGGCTCACGCCACAATGTGTTGATTGAGTATTATTTCACTGGTTTTGCGCCGCTCATATGAATCACGTTGTACAGTCCGGGATGAGACGGAAGAGGCCAAGTGTTGCTACAGTCACATTCCTGCATTATTAGTGCACACAGCGATTTCGGGAAACTGGCTCTGACGATGATTTTGTAGTGTGTCGCAACGAAGCAACAAATAAGGACTTGATCACTCTGCTGTGCTGTTTTTTCTTTTATCAGTTAGAAGTTATAGAATTTTGAAGAAAAAAAACACCATGAGCCCAACAGGCCTGACACATGTTGATTTTTGAATGTTATTGATCTTTATACAGGATGTTTAATTTTTTTTTTTAACCAAACCATTGTATTTCCCCCGCACTGTTAGCTCTATCTGCAGTTATTTATATAAGTACTGTTAGCTCTATCTGCACTGTTATTTATATAAGCACTGTTAGCTCTATCCGCACTGTTATTTATATAAGTACTGTTAGCTCTATCCGCACTGTTATTTATATAAGCACTGTTAGCTCTATCAGCACTGTTATTTATGTAAGCACTGTTAGCTCTATCAGCACTTATATTTATGTAAGCACTGTTAGCTCTATCTGCACTGTTATTTATATAAGCACTGGTAGATCTATTCGCACTATTATTTATATAAGCACTGTTAGCTCTATCAGCACTGTTATTTATGTAAGCACTGTTAGCTCTATCTGCACTGTTATTTATATAAGCACTGTTAGCTCTATCAGCACTGTTATTTATATAAGCACTGTTAGCTCTATCAGCACTGTTATTTATGTAAGCACTGGTAGCTCTATCAGCACTGTTATTTATATAAGCACTGTTAGCTCTATCAGCACTGTTAGTCTTATTTTTTAAGAGGGAGTACACCACGGGTTGATACACATTTGGTATTTCTGGCACCAGAATGGTGTATGCAGAGGTCTCCAAGCACAGAAGGGAGTCACCTCTTGAGTTCCTTACTTGTCTCGTCTTCACTTCTCCGTGTGGAGGAGAATTTGAGAAAATTCGGTTCATGCGTCTCCAGCCAAGCGTCCGACATCCACAGCTGTTGCGGCAGACAAATGGCGAAGGAGTTGAGTCTTCAATACTGCATTTGTATTTATGCCTCCTGTTTCTCACAGTTAATCAGGCTGGTGCTCAAATAGCCTGTCTTCTTTTACACAATAAATGTGACGTAGCGTAACAAAAGGGTTTCACCACATTTCTCTGCCGGTGTGCTTTCCACAGGCTGAAGCTGAGAAACGGAGGCAGAGCCCCGTACACCTCGACGATGATCACAACCTCCTCGGATGTTTGCCAAAAGAAGACCCTGTCCAATTCTAACCAGCTGGGGAAATGTTGGCGGTCACTAGGTTGAATGTCTCACTCTTGAGCCTTACATTTATGATGATTTGTTGACCAGCGAGATGCTAAACTTTCCCTGTCTGCTTGTTTGGTGCTGGACAGGTAGTGTACAATCTGTGGGTACTTTGTACGATCACCAGCCGGGGGGAAGGGATCCACTACACAAGGGATAACTCTCTGGAGCTGATAGTAAACATGTGCATGTTGAAGATTGTTGTGAATTGCTCCACATCTGAACTGATAGTGTCAATCCGAAGAAGAGCTCGTGTAACGGGTGTAATCTCCTTCTCTAAGGAGCGGATCACGGGGTTACAGTGAGGGGGGGGGGGGGGGCGAGGGAGGACTGTGGTAGCGTTGCTGACGCACATGTGAAACATGGAGGGGAGGGATGGAAAGGAATCTCTGGCAGGGATCAGCAAACCTCGAGACGAGGTCAGAAAGCCACTGGCGACATGACGAACAAACACACACACGCACACGCACACACTTGAGTCGGGGTCGTAATAACAGCGGTAAGTCGTTGAATAGGTGATAATCATTGATAATCATTGATGGGGTTATAATGGGGAAAACCAAGTGATCTCTCTCTCTGTGTAATACTTACACACACAAACATAACTATTCACAAATCTCACGTGTGTGTGTGTGTGTGTGTGTGTGTCATTAGCCAGTGTTTTGAATGGTTTACTTTTTGGTTGTTTGTGTAGCTGTGTTTGACAGTTTCGCATGAAGATTTTCTGTTGTGCAGCTTTTCACTATAAATGTCACACACACACACACTCATCCAGCCTCACAGTGTTGTGTGTTGTTTCTGCTGTGTGTGGGTGTGTCTCTGTGTCTGTGGAGGGTTGCGTGACCCTACAAGTATTTTTATTTTAGCACGGCTGTGTAGTGCAGTCTTTGTGCAAGTGAGACAGATAGAGAGTCTTGTCGGTATGTATACAGGGTACACCCGTGTGTGTGTGTGTGCGTGTGTGTGGTTACATGCTTATGTGTTCTGGCCAGTCGGAGCGTGGGAATGCGGTGGAGGATTTCTGTGGTATTTTTAATGTTTGTTATTAAGTATTACCACAAGGGACCACGACCAAACCCCAGGCACTCCGCCTCCAGTAACAATGAAAACAAAACCACTCGGTTTGAATAAATCTGACACTCAAGGAAAAGGCCAAGCAAATTAAGTCAGAGTGAGGTCAAAATAACGAAGGTAACACAATAAGTAAAGCTATGGCCAACGGGGTGGTACGTAGCAGCAGGTGGAGACAACAGTACGGGAGTGATGACAGAACGTCGGCCCACTCGCAGGTTACGCGGGATAGATGGAGGGGGCCGTGTCCGGGCAGGTGTCTGGGATGCACAAAACCAGGCTGATGGGGAAGAGCCGCTGTTACAACAAACTCTTAAACTGAGAGTAACAACGAGATGTTTTGGTTTCCCCTGGTTACCGTGAGTAGAAATTATTGTCTCCTTATATAGAGTCACGTAATAACAGTTGAAGCACTTCAATGGTTTTGATGGTTGGGAAACGCTCTCGGTTGAGTTATTGTGTCGAGTTCATCTTAAGAAAATTGTACTTTTACTCTTATTTCTGTCGCTCTGTTCATCTCCATAGCAACAGCGGCTAATTCTCACTGATAATCATGGGCGCCCATCCTGCCGTGCGAACGGAGCGAAGATCACTTGTCCTGCTAATTCGCCCCAGCGCTCACTCGCTGTATTGCAAAGAACAAAGAACAAACGTTAGTCTTCACACGTGTGTTATATTTCCAAGATGTTTGTGATGTCTGGAACAGTGATGTCACCCCAATGTAAAGTCTGTGGGAGGAACTTGAGCGTGTGTTGGCGGAGACAGCGGGAGAAACACTTAATTAACTCCAACATATTCAGTGACGTGTAAGGCCAACTTTAAGCTACATTTCTTTTCACTAGGTTTTATTTTTGATTAGTCACTAAATGTTTCTGGTAGATTTAATCCCATGATGGTCCTCCAACTTCAGTCGCGTGAATCACAAAGGGAGTTGAGGTCCGTTGAGGAACCAAATTATCCGATGACGTGTCGGTGCCGTTGCAGCATTAAAACAGAAGCGTGAGTCAATCAGCTCATCCTTCCCGGATCGACACACTCAATGTGTCTGCAATGTTGTAAATGAGACACTTGAGACACTCCAGCTGATCATCTTCTGGCTTTTGTCTTCATTTGTCTTTGCCAAACGGGAATCCTCAGTCCAGTTCTGAGGTTTTGACTGAAAATGATGAACAGTAACAGAAACCAACTACTCAGTAACCAAATCTAAAACGAAAAAGAAAAACCCACTTTGACTTATTGGTCTGTTTGAGGTTGATAATAAATGTTGTGTTTAGTATATATTTCAGCTTCATTCCTCTGCATTTTCCCTGGTTTGGCATTAAGCTCACGTTTTGATAAAATGGAGGAGTTTCCAGTACAAGCGGTCGGACGGCGTGAGTTCAGAAAAACACTGCAAGCTTATTTTTAGTTTGATATGAGGACTTACATTTTTCTTCTGGCCGGAGATGGAAATCTTCCAATGGCATGAGAGCCTTTTGTTTTGTCTCAATTAATGAAAGCTGATGTACAAGTATATCACCGGTTTATATCTTTATACTGCAGACCTGCGGATTCTTCCAGTGTTCATCCTGGACGTGTTTCAAGCGTAGACTTGTGTTGCAAACTTTGAAACAGTCCTCGCATTCCCCCATCAGCCTCTGTTTTTCTTTTCATGTCATCCATCTGTTCCCAACTTTCCTCATTCCTGTGTTTGTTCCCCTCATCTCCGCCTCCCTCCCTCTCAGCTATCTTTTTTTCTGGGTTTTGTTTTTTGTTTTTTACAGGAGGAGTCCAATCACAGAGACTCACAGCTTTTCCGCACAAGCAGCCAAATTTATACTCCCTTTTTATTTTTTCCTGCATGTTTATTTGTGGGTTTTCTTGAGGGACGACATATCTGCGAGAAAAGAAGAAAAAAAGGCCCGG